TCTCCCCGGCCCCGAAGACTTCTAAGAGAGGGTGAGCAGGGCCACTGAGGCAGACAGGAACAGGGGACAGTACTGCAGGAAGCAGGGGTCATACCTGGAGGTAGTCATAGGGACACTGGGTTTCAGGATGCCACTCCACATCGAAGGACCCCACAAAGTCCAGGATGACACTGAACCCCTCCTCCAGGTGGATGTGGTAAGAACAGCTGGAGAGTTTGGGGTATGGCTGCGGGTATTCAGGGCTGCTGAGCTCCCCAGACCTCGCGGTGAAGACTTGGTCTGAGCACAGAGCTGGCAAGAGGAGATGGACAGGTGGGCAGTGACACCTACCTGTCACGCTCTCTGTGGACAACAGGGCAGCTGCTGCTGGGGGTGGGGTTTGTGGACAGAATACTCCAGAACTCCTGTGTCCCTGACCTGCCAAGCTCCTGTAGGCAGCCAGTCCTGCCATGGATACAGCCCCACCAAGTGCTAGGGACTGTGGGGCAGGGTTCCTCTTGCCTGCAGGCTTTGGCCAAGGTGGGAGGGAGGCACTGGGCTAGAGGTTTCAGGCTGGGCTCAGCAGCAGTTTACCTTGCATGCACAGGTCTCTGGGTTCAATCCCCAGAGCCACAAAAAAAATTCTCTAGGGGTTCTCCCCACGAACAGAGAGGGTGGAGACATCCTGGACCTGTCACACTCCAGAAGTGAAAGTTGGGAAGGGTCTGCCCAGTGTGCTCACAAAGGAGGCAGCAGTGAGTCCCTCCATGGTCCCCAGGGACCCGGCGGGGCAGGTGGCTCCTTGTACTGGGGGCCCTTTCTGCTTGCACCCAGCCTAGGGGTGGGATGGGCTTGGCCTGGGGTGGCTCAGGAGTCCATGTCGATGGTGACAGTCAACCCTACTTCCTCCCTGCCTCTGCAGTGTCCTCTTCCCTGTGGTACCTGCATGGTGGGGAGACCAGAGTGCCCCTGGGTGACACCTGCCTGGGTCTTTCTGCCCTGAGTCACCTCTGAACCGAGTTGCTCCAAGAGTGCTTGGAGCTCAGCCTTTGGGGACATAGAGGGGGTGGGAGCACTGGCCCCCCGTGTGAGCCCCATCTCAAATAGGGTTGGGGCCCCACACTGCTGAGGCAAGGGACTGGCGTCCTCTGCATCTTCCCCGACCTCCCACAGAGACAGCAAGCGAGGTACAGGAGAGCCAGGTTTATTGGTGGGTGGTGATGGGGACAGTGAGCAGCACTGTGGGCAGTCAGGGTCTTGTCTGGACCTGCTGCAGCCCTCGGTGGCACCTGGCTTCTGACCCATGGGCGAGGGCAGGCTGGAGCCAGGCAGGTCAGTGGCTCTGCTCTGGAAAAGATGGGGGTCAGAGGACAGCAAGCAAGGATGCAGGTCAGGGGGCCTGGGGCCTGGGGCCTGGAGGGCCAGCGTCTTGGGGGTGGGGTGGGGGCTCTGATCACAGCGTCCCCAAGCTCTTGCAAGGGTCTGAGCAGTCCCGGGCTGGTGGCTGGGCCCAAGCTGGCCCCCCTCACCTGAGCAGGTGCGTGTGTTCTGGTGCAGGACGTAGCCTGCCCGGCAGGAGCAGTAGAAGCCACCCAGGTAGTTGTGACAGTAGTGATCGCAGGGCGGTGGCTCTTCTGGGGACACTTGGCACTCGTCGATGTCTGGGGGAGAAGTG